GACCTCTGATCTTGTTTTCTTAACTCTGTAAGACTACTGGGGTCTGCTTAGGTTATTTCTCCCTTCTCTGTTCACTGTGGTCCAGAAAGTGCCTCCAGACAAAAAGTCAAGAAAACATGTGGCCCATATTGTTTGCTTTCCTTCTTTCAGGGATCAAACTTCCCTGTTAATTTTCCAGTGCCTGAAAACAATTGTCTTACATATTTTGATCAGTTTTCTGTTTCTTTTTAATAGAAGGAGAGTAAGGTTTTAGTAATTCCATCATAACTGGAAGCAGAACTCTAGTAACTTTTTTTTTACTTGCTACAAAAATAAGAAATTCTTCCAATCAAGATGTTTGTCAAGCAGGTCAGAAATGGAGTACATTTGCCTTTATTTTTCTGGCTTATATGTTTTTTAAAATTAAATATATACATGTTATTTATAATATTTAAAATATAAAATTATGCTATATGTTATAAAACAGGTGTAAACATATGAGCATCACTTACATTTACAATTATTTAATGACTTCACAGTCTTCCTTTTTTATTTTGAATTATACACACTTTTAAAACGTATTATCTGGTTACTGTAGTCTGTACATGGTCAGCAGTACAAAAACTGTCTTTGCAAACAGCAGCTTTACAAAATGCATATAACAATCTATATGCATCAGATATTTACTATTTGCATTTAATGTTTTATTTTTAGTTTCCTTAAATTATATTGCTATAAGATAGAGGGTTGATTGCCTTGTTTTCTACAACTTGGCTTCAAATTTTTCTTTTAGAATAAAGATTAGAGTTAAACTCAGGATGCTGAGAAAGTTCAACCTGATAACCACAATAGTTGTAATTAGCACATATACACTTTTTAATCACATTTTTTGTTATTTTATTTTTTCAGGCTGAAATAAGGCCACTAAAAGGTCTGAGGAGTATGGGCATAGACAAAACCATATCATTTTAGAATATAGTTAGATTGAACTGAGAATATCGTGTGCAGATACACCTATATACATCAAATGGGTACATAAATTTCAGTATTCTTATTATTGCCAAATTTCAAGTCTTAATTTTACTCTTTTCTTTATTTATGACATAATAGGTCATGGTGCGGTTCTCCAGGAGTACCTATAAAGTATTTCCTGTGTGACATAAAGCTTTACATAATCCCATTTGGATTAAGGTGTATAGAACCAAGTCTTATATTCAAATAAATGACGGTATGTGGAATGTGGGTGTATCCTACTATAGCCAATTTGATTAGAGTGCTTTCTTTTTTCTTTAAAGATACAATTCATCTGCAGAAAACATGTATTATTCTTAACATATTAACAGAAATAGTCTAGTGCTATATTAAAAAAGAAAAAAAGGAAGCGAAGAAGAAAGGAAGGAAAGAAAGACAAAGGAAGAAAACTGACTAAAATTCCCTGATTGAGGGAATGGAGATTAGGTGCAGAGCAAGTAAAGAACTGAGCTATCTTCAATTTAAAAAAATTCACATGATAAATAGCACTACGTATTTTACTTAATCCTTACAAGTGGTGTGGATTACTAAGTGGTGAAGTGGCTAAACAAGTGCATTTTTAAAAGTCTTTCTTAAAAATTCTAAGTTTCAAAATACAGGTTTTATTTTCTTAAAAAGATATTTCTGCTACATACGTGTTTAATTAAGACCAAGTTTTTCCTTGTTTGATACCTATGCCACTAAAGCAGATGACCCCTATAAAGTGTTTACTAGTAGTTGTAATCACAAAATGGTTGGAACTGTGCTTGCTCTGTGTTCAGTCTCTCTGGAATACATATTTCTACTTTATTCTAGGAGATCCAACGTCCATTTCTTTCTGGGTACAATGCTACTTCTGTGTTTGCAGCCTAGACTTGGACTGAATTTGTAGAATGTCTTAATAGTTACTGAAATGTAATGTTGTTTGCTTACACAAATGCTACTAAAATAAAAACTTATGAAAAGTACATTGGATATAAAGTAGACAATAAACTTGGTGAATTTATTTACATTTCATTAATAGGGATTTATCTAAGCACATTTTATTATCATGTTGACATTTAAAAATCAACTATCAGGATCTATTTTCAACTTTCTATGCATTCTAAGGATGATGTTCTTCTTGAATCTTTAGAAATAAACCATGCTTAAAATCCAAAATTTTCCTGATTAAAAACCCTCAACAAACTAGGCATTGAAAGATCATACTTCAAAATAATAAAAACAATCTATTGTAAACCCACAGCCAATATCATGAATGGGAAAAAGCTGGAAGCATTCCCATTAAGCAGGAGCAACACAAGGATGCCCACTCTCACCACTCCTATTCAACATAGCACTAGAAGTCCTAGCTAGAACAAGCAGGTAAGATAAAGAAATAAAAGGCCTCCAAAGAGGAAAAGAAAAAGTCAAATTATCTCTCTTTGCTGATAATATTATTCTATTCCTATAAACAACCAAAAAGATCCTAGAAATGATAAATGTCTTCAGTAAAGTTTCAAGATACAGAATCAAGGTACAAAAATTAGTAGCATTTCCATGCACCAATAATGTTCCAAATCAAGAATGCAATCACATTTACAACAGTCAAAAAATAAAGTAACTAGGAATACATCTAACCAAGGAGGTGAAAGATGTCTACAAGGAGACCTACAAAACACTGCTGAAAGAAACCATAGATGACACAAACAAATGGACAAACATTTCATGCCCATGAATTGAAAGAGGCAATATTATTAAAATGGCCATACTCCTCAAAGCAATTTACAGATTCAATGCTATTCCAATCAAACTACCAATGTCATTTTCCACAGAATTAGAAAAAAGAACTATTATGAAATTTATAGAAAGTGAAACAGAGCCTGAATAGCCAAAGCAATCCTAAACAAAAAGCACAAAGCTGGAAGCATCACATTACCCAACTTCAAACTATACTATAAGGCCACAGTAACCAAAACAGCATGGTACTGGTGCAAAAACAGACACATAGACCAATGGAATGGAATAGAAAACCCAGAAATAAAACTGCACACCTACAGCCATCTGATCTTCAACAAAGTTGACAAAAATAAGCAATGTATAAAGAACGCCCTATTCAATAAATGGTGCTGAGACAGCTAGCTAGCCATATGCAGAAGTGTTGAACTGGACCCCTATCTTTCACCATCTACAAATGTTATCTTTCACCATCTACAAATCAAGATGGATTTAAGATTGGAATGTAAGACCTCAAACCGTAAGAATCCTAGAAGAGAACCTAGGAAATATGATTTGGATAACAGATGATGGCGAGGCTGTGGAGAAAATGGAATGCTTATATTAGGGGATATAAGCATTTATTATTGCTTGAGGGAAATATAGATTAGTCCAGCAACTGTGGAATGCAGTTTGGAGGTTTCTCAAACAACTTAAAACAGAATTATTATTCGACCTGTCAGTTCCATTACTGGGTATACGCCTGAAGAAAAATAAAACATTCTACCAAAAAGACACATGTGCTTATGCGTTCATTGCAGCCATATTCACATTGAAGAAGACATGGAATCAACCTAGATGCCCATCAACAGTAAACTGGATAAATAAAACATAGTATGTATACAATATGAACTATTATACAGCCATAAAAAAGAAAAAAAAAAGTATGTCCTTTGCAGCAACATGGATGCAGCTGTAGGCCATTATCCTAAGTGAATTAATATAGGAACAGAAAACCAGATACCACATGTTCTCACTTCGAAGTGGAGGCTAAGCATTATGTATACATGGACATAAAGATGAGAACAATACACATGTGGGACTAGTAGAGTGAGATAAAGGGACGGGGGCAACGACTGAAAAACTACCTATTGGGTACTATGATCATGATCTGGGTGATGGGAATCATTCATACCCCAAACTTCAGCATCACACAATATACCCATGTAACAAACCTGCACACATACTCCCTGAATCTAAAAGTTGAAATTATTTTTAAAAATACGGTAAAAAAATGAAAATAAAAATCCATCATGCTTTTATGCTTTTGCTAATTGCTGCCTGGAAACAGCAAGTTCACCTTCAGTGGTTCCACGATGTTATTAAAATATACATGTTAATATTAAAACATCTTTTAACAAAGCTTTGTTAATTCCAAAGAATATCTGTTACGAATGATGCTCATTACATTAACCAATCACTTAGATCTTGACATAATGTCACAGGAAAAGAAATTTTTAGTAAATGACAGGGGAAAATTACATGTATATTATGTATAAATAGGTATGTGTATGTTGCGTGTATATATAAT